AGGTGAGAAGTGTCTTGGCTTCGGCAAAGGAGCCACTGTCCATTTCATGTAAGTTTATATACAGTAAACTGTATATGTTAACAATTAAAGACAACACATATAAATGAATACTGTAGATATAACTGGTCAACTTAATGTCCCCCTAAATATAACACGTATTTGTTTTGTGGCCTTACCCACAAGGTCCCATTCTCCATTGGGAATATATTCAGATGTGTCAGCTTCCAGCATCTGCAAATCAAGGGACCAGCCACCATAGGTCCAGGAGCCAAACTTGAGATCACACCTTTGCACATCAAAGGGAAACCATCTTACGTCTATGTAACAGGTGCTCTTGAAGATTCCTAGAAAGGAGAGAAAAATACAGTAGGAAGAGACTGACCCCAGTTTGGCTGCTGCTCAATACTCCTTTTCTACTGCCTGTTTCTGATTCTCTTCCCTCGGCACAGGCTACCCTTCTCTTCTCTGTCCGACCCCTTCTTGATCTCCCTGCTATTCTCCCATCAACACTTGCATTTCAGGTAATACTCAGGCCTGGTTCTCCTCCTGCTTTGCCGATTGCATATATCAGAACTCCTGGTGAAGTTTGCTGTCTGCTCCTTACTTTCTCTCCACAGGTGTTCCCCAGGGTTCTGTCCCAGGTCCTCTATAGTTCTGTCTTGACACACACTCCCTGGGTCATGTCCTTTCTTCCCACACAGTTCTGTATCATGCAGATGATGGTCAGGTCTTCCTTTCATGTCCTCACATTGAGACTCAGGTCTCCTGCAGTATCTTCGTTTCTCAAGCTACAGTTATTGTGCTGCACAGCTTACTCCATGCTGGCATGTTTTGCACTGTTGCCACTGCAGTGTGAAAATGATTGTATAGATTCTCTGGACTTGTCTCACAGACAGGCCACCTTCAATTGTACTGATAGCAATACAGGTGTGTATGGTTGTAACTTTTTTCTTTTCCTGCATTAATTAAAATTTTAAGCACTTCTCATTACAATTGGATTGTAAAATAATGTACATAATGCTTGCCGTCAAATAAGTTAGAAAAATTACAACAAACTGTTGTTGAACATCAGATAAAATTTAGTATTCATGTTATTTCACTGCTTTTATACTTTTAATATATATGCACTAATGTCTACATGAAAGGTATTTGCCATGTCACCTTCTAATTTTTTTAATATCATAATTAAAAACATTACTCAGCTTAAATATCTGCGGCTGATTTGTTATGCATAGAAATCAGATGGAACATCCTTAACAAATCTAGGGTGATATGTTTGTTCACTGAAGTTTCCTTATTAAAAACTTGACACATGTCCTGTTCTCACAAGACCCTGTGACCTTCCTCTCCTGCAAGTAATGATTGTGAGGAATGAGGGTTCGATTTACTTCGATTTACCTGGTGGGATGTACTGGCAGTATCCTGTGGAATTCACAAGCACATTGGTGTGAAAGGTTGCATCAAATCTCTCATCAGCACTGCGAGGAACATATCAGCTGTTAGTGTCAATGTTTTATTTCCCAATAAAGTTCAGATTGGCAGATTAAATGGAAAACATGAGAGAGCTGTTTAAATAATGACCGTTACTGCTTTGGTTAAAGCGCTATAAATCTTTAAATTTGTTGGACCACAAAATAAATAACACTTACTTAAGTGTCAATAAAATGTTTATGTAAGGGTGTGCACTGAGCTGCAAATTGCTGAATGAGGAAAAGGGCAGCTTCAGCTGTTTCGTATTCATCAGAAAATAAAGTCAGCCACATTATCCATCCCTAGGGGAGAAAATTAAATGAATCGCTCCAGGTGACTGGATAATATCCACGTTCGTCTTCCCTAAAGTACATTACCCATAACACATAAATTAAATCAAGCCAAATGACACAGACCCATTTAAATGTATTTGCCATGCACTCTTCTATATTTTTAGTTTTTCAAACTGTACAGAACTTTATACAGGCCAGCACATAGGAAATAGAAATAACCAATATTATGTCTATGATAAATTTAATGTTTATATTTTCCACTTTTGAAAATGAACAAAATGAGATTAAGAATATATATATACTATTCTATTTTCATGTCATATAATTCATTTTAATATATAATTTGTTGTTGTTGTTGTTGTAGGTAGAACTAGACTCCAGATTATTTTTATCATCTTATTATTTTATTAGTTTTGCAGTGTTTAATCCTCTCTCTCTTCTAATTGATTCTAATTCCAATGTAGTTCCGATTTATGGCTGTAACTGTATTCTTGTTTTTTGCTTTCTCTTGATCTATTTAAAGATTGTATATAGCCTTTTTTCTTTTTCCTACTACTTATCGGTATGTTATATGATTTCGTCCATTGTTATCTTTGACCTAGACTTGTTTATTTTTGGTATGGATTTGGTCTGGCTCTGTAGTAAATGTGTTTTTGAAACAGAGCCATCCACTCTTTCCAGATGTCATATCTAATTTATCTTAATCTGTTTATCTCATACTCTCTCATTCCCTCAAAGTCTGCTTCTCTAAATCCATAAACCACACTGCCTGTCAAGCTTTGAATTTCACTTAAAAAGGATTGTACCGTGGATGAATTATTTTAGTTATTCTCTTGCCTCTGTCTTTGCACTCTGTTCTGAATACTTGGAAAGATCAGATCGGTGCAGGGATTTTCCCTTGTTGGTTCTCTGACAAGTTGAGTAAGAAGGCAGTCATTTACCTTTACAATCATTTCACTTTATGCACAGGAACTCAAGAAAGGATAGACATGAGAAGAGGCCCTCTGGCCCATTTGCTCCCAGTGGTTGTTAGTAGCTAATTGATTCATGAATCTCCTCCAGCTTGTCTTTTATTTTTGATCTGTGTATTGGAACATATGTATAACTTATGAATTTGCCTTCTTGGCCCTTTTGCTTTTCTTTGTGTTTTGCCCGATTATCTAACCTCTTCACTAACTCTCAGCCTTCCAGTCCAGACTGTTTTATGCTTCAGCCCCGGGACATATCTAATAAAGATTTTCTCTAATTGAATTTCCTGCCTTTTAGATGCAACAATTCTAAATTATCCTTCAATGCGACTCTTCAATGTGATTTAGCTGTAGAATGGATAGATCAAAATAGAATATAGATCATTCTCCTTTAATTTTGTTGAAAATTAAAACCCAGCACCCCAAAAAATCTAGGCACCTTGTCGTTTCTACCAAATCCTACATGTGGCCTGCTCTGACCCACTACATCCTAAAAACACCATGTGGGGTTCTAGACCCAGGGCGGTGTGACTCGTTGTTCTAGACCCAGGACAGTGTGGCTTTCTGTTCTAGACCCAGAACAGTGCATGAACGAGGAGTAGCAGTGAACCAGGCATTCTGATCTGCTCCTGTAGTGCCTGGCCTCTTGTGCCTTCAGTGGACACTTTCTGCAGCAACAGGTATGCAATCAAGCTATTGACTATCTGCTGTATTACATTTCTCTGGCAGCCAATTCTGGGAAGGTTTCAAAACACCTCACAGCTGGGTTTTTTATTTTGTGTCCCCCTGGTGGATATAAGGAGGACTGAAAGAAGACATATTGATTCATCTTTCAATAAATCTAACTAAGGGAAGTAACCTACCTATTATAGAGGAGAACATCTGGCTTCCATATCTGCTCATCAGGGAACCTAACGTTCTTCACCCCTGGATAGTCAGAAGCATTCCACTGAAGGTAGAAGTCATTCCAGTACTGGAATGAGAAGGAAAATAGATGAGTTGTCAGGAATTCCATCAATTATCTGGTATGAGGAGAGGTTTTCTCCCATGATGGACGACCCTGTCCATGCAGATGTTGGCAAACCAGGCCTTCAGTCAGGTGCTGCCAAAAACTGTCGAGCTTGAAAGTCTTGTCGCAATTTCTACAAGCATCCTGTGCACTGTCATATCAACTACGGATCTGCAAGGACTCTGGGTCTGCATCCATACAGTTTACAGACAATGTCTAAAGTACCAGTAAGAAATTAGTAAGAAATTATATTATCCATTACTCAATATAACTTGCACAAAACCTGATTTGCTTGCTTGACTGTACTAATGCAGAATGCCTGTCAATCAGATCAGGAAATAAACAATCAGCAGCAGGAGTAGGAACAAGTCCTAATGAGAGAGCGTTGGGCTGCAATAGGGCTCACTGCCTGTCAATCATATTAAGAGAACCAATCTGTGAGGAAGTAATCTGCTGCTGGCATAGTATTTTATTTTCTGCATGCATTAGTCTATGTGACGACTTTGCTTTTCTTCTGCTTTCTCAGAGATTATGATTGACAGTATGTCATCACGTCGGTAACTTTAATTTTCCAGACAGAATTTTAGATTGCTTTAAAGCTGTTTGCTGGGTCAATGTGTTATTGAAGCCCTGATTTCTGCCCAGTCAGGATCATTCCACAAGCCAGAGAGAGGACTAGCCCCCTTATCAGCTCTAATCTGCTGAGGTTATAGGTGAGACATTTCTTTTGATGCTCAGTTTACAACTTGTACTTATTTCTATATTGATCATTGGAGGATACAATATATTGATTACTGTATATTGCTTTCATTAATTAACTCATCATTGACCTTAATATTTAGAAACATGTGGCAATGTTGCCCCTGGGAGACCACAGATTGAGGTGATTAAAGACCACAATTGCGTGTATAACGTGTGGAAGATGATGTAAATTATCTACCATAAGTCTGTTTTTTCTGAAGCATGTTTGATCGGGGTCTGCTAATTTATTCACGAAGCTGCAGTGTGAGCACTTTGGCTGTCAGGAGTTTGTGTCGGGGTATATATCACTTCCAGCTCTCAGTGTGAAGCTTCTCAGTTCCACAGGGTGTAATGTAGCTATACTGGCTACATTATAGCCAGTATAATGGCTATTATACATATAATATTGTATATATATATTTGTATATAACTTACATATAATAATAATTCCTTACACTTATATAGCACTTTTCTGGACATTCCACTCAAAGCTCTTTACAAGTAATGGGGATCCCCTCCACCACCACCAGTGTGCAGCCCCACCTGGATGATGCGCCAGTCCACTCCCCACACACCAGCTCTCAGTGTGGAGGAGAGCAGAGTGATGAAGCCAGTTCAGAGACGGGGGTTATTAGGAGGCCATGATTGGTAAAAGCCGGGGGAAATTAGTTTTAATTAGAACAATTTATATAATTGTCCTAGTGCCTAAATTGCAGACAAATTTGAAAGAATGTTGCTTTATTTCAACTTTCATATAATGTACCTGGCCTGCTTTCAGCTGTGAGAGATGTAAATCCTAGAAGTGAAGAGAGAAAACTGGGCTCCTGTGAGGCTGATCCAGACAGGCTGAGCCCGGTGGCCCAGGCCGCCCGACAGTGAGAGGAGCTGAGCCCAGCCAGCCAGCCAGTCAGTCATAGCTGCAAAGCCTGTTCCACATGAGGCTGTAGAAAATCTAGCTTGCAAGAATGCCACTGTTTGAAAACACCTCAGAAAGCCACGTGATCAGGCACTGGCAGCTGCAGGCCAGAACCGAGGCTGTAACAGGGCACAGGTCTCTCTGGGCTCACGCACAGGGTGCAAGACACAACCCACTGGCCACAGAAAGAACTTCTAATAAACGACTTACCAGCTGTAACCATATGTTTGTTGTAAAAACTTGATTTTTTTCATCCTGTAACACATAAAGACAAATTTTCAAAAGCAGTGGCTAAGAACATCAGAATCACAAAACATACAAGCCCTCAAAAATACCTGAGGAGAAACTACCTCATGACACACAGAGAGAAGATAGTTTTGCACTTTTCTGAGCACTGCTGCAGCTAAACTAAATCATCCAGTAACACCATCCCACTTCCGACACCCAGTTCCAAAAATCAGCCTTTATTCCTCACAGTGCTGGTTTCACACTCATAACCATTAATAGGTTAAGAATGGTGCGAGTATGCTTTCAGTATCTGAACACCAGAATTATGTCATCTCAAGCCGGAAGGTCAGGCAGGCTGGCGCTGTCTCCCTTCCCTCTCTCCCTGTCCTGTCTTCCTAACCAGCAGGCTGGCCTGTCTCTCTGTCCTTTCTCCCTGTCCAGCGGGCTGGCCTGTCCCCCTGTCCTGTCTTCCTGTCCAGTGGGCTGGCCTGTCTCCCTGGCATATCTCCCTGTCCTGTCTTCCTGTCCAGCGGGCTGGCCTGTCTCCCTGTCTTGTCTCCCTGTATGGTGGGCTGGCCTGCCTCCAGAAACACCAGCAGGACACAGGAAAGAGGCCCCAAGGACACACAGAAATTTAGAGGGAGTAGATTTAGGACAGAGATCAGAAGAAACTTTATTATATGAAGGACTGTATGGATCTGTTATTGAAGAGGGTTCTTCAGGATCCTTCAGGAATGGTTGGAAGAAATCCATGGATTTATGACCTGCTAGCAACCAAATGATGATGAGGAGAGGCCAAACGCTTTTCTTCTTACTGCAGAGGCAACTTCTGTTTGAAAATGAAACACTCCCTCCCACAGGCCTGTGGTAATTGAGACTTCCAATTAGTACATCTTAGTTTGACACCAATCTTAATGCCCAGACATACTGCTGTGGGTCCTAGGAAATAAACGCATTTTCTAAAAGCTCTTAAATTGTAAGTACCAGCTCCATAACTCCACCTTGTGGTGACACATGGAAAAGAGGCACAGACTCTAAACGGTCTCCACTGGCTTTTTGGAAACTGGAATCTGTTGAATTAGACTTATTTAATAAAGTAGACTTTATGAGATTAAAATAAAATTGATCTCAATCTTCTAATGGGATGATAACATGTCTAGACAATAATTCACTGCTTCCTTACAAGGAACAGTCCTACAAGAAGCTGGACATAGTGTCCAGTTTTCTCAAAACTGAGTTTTGACACAGGTCTACATCCGAAATAGTGACAGTATCTCCCGTATTGCTCCAATTCTTGTGCATTGCATCATTTTATTTTCTTCAGCATTTAACCTTCTACTTAAGGTTTTAAAAAAATATTTCCACCTGGTAATCATAAAATACAAAAATGATTAAACGGGAAATATATACATGCTTTGTGCCTAAACATAGCACATGTTTCTCATCACACCACAGCTGTCAGCCTCTCCTAGTGAATCCTCAAGGAGCTGTGGGTTGTGCAGAAACAAAACTCTAACGGCCTATTTTATGCGAGGACATCTCTAATGCTCTTTAAACAGATTAGCGTTGTTTGGGTGGAATAGCTCATGAGTACAGATGAATCAAAAGGTTAGATTATGCACAGATATAGGGCCCCCATGTCCTCATCGACACTGGAGCACGCCTGCTTTCATCCTTCCAGTGACTCAGCATGTACAGGGTATTCCTGAAAGCTGGATGAGTATGAACTCACCACATCCATGATCTGCATGAGGCTGAGGCTGAAGTACACTGTGAGGGGATGGGAGTCATTGGACACAGGCCTCTCCAGCGGGCTATAATTCTTCATCAGGTCTTTGTACAGCTTCCTCTGAAACTCCCCTTGCAGAGAGACTGGGGAAGAGAGGGAAGACTGGAGTCATCGTCTAGCCCTGTCCGTGCAGGAATCCAGCAGCCTCTC